AGAATTCCCCAGCCAGCGAATGCTGGCTGGGGAATTCTGGGAGTTGAAGTCCAGACATCTTCAAGTTGCCAAGGTTGAGAAACACTGGGCTAGAATCTTGTTTCATCTGCAAGATTATTCTACCCATTTATAGCAGGGTGGCTCTTTGCCAGTTGCCATTTTTTATAATGCTTTGAAAGGAAACCAAAAAATGAAACAATCTCATTACAATGTCATATCCTCTTCAAATGTTTGACTAAAATGCCATGTTGGCCTCAAGGTTTGGGAAGCCAACTGATTTGGAAGGCATTCACTTTGAGGTTTTTCAAATACAAACTTCTAAAACATGCATAACCACTATCAATATTTATTAACATTCATAGCAATAATATGTTTGAGCTTGAACACGTAGTTAGTTAAAATGAGCATTTTCCTTCTTTTAAAGTTGCGCTCCCTCCCTGTGGCAGGTGTATACTAGTTTTCCCAAAACTTCTGCCTTTTGTATGTGTTGCGCTGACCATCTCTATCTATGCCCAAGCAACATGGGAATTGAACATCCCATCTTATAGAACATCACCATCACCTTCCTTTTTCTTTTCCTCACAACTTGTATCTTCATTCATGCACCTGCTCCATATCCCTCTTCCACTTCTTGAAAGAATAGGAAAAATTGGCTCCCCTCCCCCGCTTCCATCAGTTATCTTGGAAAAACCCTGCAGAAGTCAGAGTTTCAAAATATCGTCCCACTTAAGGATCCCTTAGTTAGGTCAATCAAGAGCTATTAATAATAACTCTGGTTCCATAGGATTTTTTGGTCCCCTTACCTGCTAGGGCAGGATTAACTGGGCTTGAGCCATTGAGGTTTTTTACAGGAACCGTAGGGACACTATGAGAGAATAAAAACACAGGTTATTAGAGATGACTGGAAAATGAATCTGCATCTCTGTAAAAGCTGGAGCCTCTGAGAAGTAAGCATACATGGAAAGAGACCGTGAAGAGGTGTCAAAGCAAACCTTGGATTCTCTGAAGGATGGAGTTGGAACACTTATGAGAACAGAGAGGAATCCATTGTATCTTCTATATATACATGCTACATAGAGGCTGGAGAGAAGTTTCCCCCTATTCATTGATCCCTGGATGTTTTCTTTAATATTCTAAAGGTACCAGGCCTAGACAATCTAGCCTGGCAGGTTACAACTCTGCCTTTGGTTGCTAGCATCCTAAGGCACAAACATCCTCCCTTGTTGATCGAGGAGACCCAGCCTCAAAAAGGCAAGCAAGCAAATGGATCTTGAAAGAAGGGTGGGTAACAGTCAATAGCCTCTTAACAGGCAATGCACACACACACACAGAAATTTATACCATTTTGCCCATGAAGAGCTTTTTCATAGATTTCATAGACTCATTCACTACTCTGATGCAACTCTCCAATGCCCAAATTCTGTCCATGCACTGATAATCAAATTGGCATTGATCAAATCTGTGAGCAGTGGAATTGGCTGTCATCAGACATGGACATGGCCACCAAATCTGATGGTTTTAAAGGGGAACTAAAGAAAGGCATGAAAGACTCTGCTCTCAACTGCAATTCACTGTGATGGCAATCTGAACCAGACAGCATACTTCAAATCTCGGCTTCTAGAGAGTGAAAGGAAAGCTGTTGCTCTCTTAGTAATTTTTATGAGTTTCCTGAATCAAAACTGTGTTGGACTCAAAATGCTTCAGCACTAAGACTTTTACTTAATCTTGAATATACTTTGAGAATGCGGGGAGTAGCAGATAACCATGTCGACATGTACAAATGGATGCAGATGGAACTATGCATAGAACGGCCTTCAAAAAATAGTGTTGGGGTTCTTTTGGAGATAGACATGAACAAGGTACCTTGTCCATTCAAGGTGGGGAAAAATTCTGCAGCATAAAATGGGACCACATTATGAAAATACAGGTGGTCCTTGACTTACAACAGTTCATTTAGTCACAATTCAAAGTTATAACGGCATCGAAAAAGGTGACATGACCATTTTTCACACAACCTTTTTAGCAGCCCCATGTTCATCTGATCAAAATTCAGATGCTTGGCAACGGGTTCATATTTATGACCGTTGCTGTATCCCAGGGTCATGTGACCTTCTGACAAGGAAAGTCAATGGGGAAGCCAGATTCACTTAACATCCGTGTTACTAGCTTACCAACTGCAGTGATTCATTTAACAACTGTGGCAAGAAAGGTCATAAAATGGGGCAAAACTCACTTAACAAATGTTTCACTTAACAACAGAAATTTTAGGCTCAACTGAGGTCGTAAGTCAAGGACTACCTGTAATATCATAGATCCACAAAACCTTTAGAAAAGCTTTCTTCGTCTTTGTGTCATGCAGATAAACTTCTACAATTTAATAAATCAATTTTTGGAAAAACCATTCTTAGAATGTGTCCGTATGTCATCTTTGGGGAACCTGTTTGCTCACTGCACCACGTAAACATTCCTGCAAAATCAAGCTTTACTCTCATGGAACATCCTCTGTGCACCAATAATCTGGACTAAGTCTCCCAGCATTACAAGGCCAGCAGAAGCCAACCCAATCCATAGAGGCCTGCATGACACTGGGCTGCTCCAAAGCGTCTTGAAAAAACTTGACATCAGCTTTGGAACACAAGAAAGTATCACATTCCAGACACAAGTCCCTGCTTTCAAAAGTGAACAGTCTTGAATTTACTCCTGAGACAGAAGTGCAGCAATTATCACGGCCCTCTGGAAGAGGCATAGATGGGAGATGTATGAGACAGAAAGGGCTGAGATATAGACAAAGTGGGGCACCTTTTAAACTGGACAATAGTTGCCGTAGTTACAGATTAAGGAACTAGCTGGAGACAGAGAATCCTCTAATCTGAAGAGAGAAGCATGTCCCGCCTTCCCCATTTGCCTGCCTTCCCTTCATTCAGCTCTTTAGAAACCTTGGTTGTGTCTCTCAGTTATTCACAGGGCCTTTTGTTCTGGGGAAGCATCGCCTTGGCCCCTTCCTCCCTTCCTCTCTTCCATGGGAAAGTCTTTGAGAAGGGTCATGGGCAGAGGGGGGGGGGAGAAACCAGCAACAGACGGCCGATGGCAAAATCATACAAAAGAGAAGGAACACTAATTAGATGTCCAAGAAAGAGTGTTTTGGTCAAGGGAAGCCTAGCAGGAGGGGGATGCTGAGGATGGGGTACCTTCCAGATTGGGCAGCAGCCTGGAAAAAAAATTGTATGGGTCTTTTGATAGGAACCCACCCCTAAAGAAGAAGAATGTTTCATTTCCTCATTAACATTCAAAAGGGGCTTTAAGGCTTCACCATTTTATGGTTCAAAGGGTCTGTGGGATTTGATGAACAGAGGAAGGGGGAATGATGGGGTAGCGTCAGTCAATGTCAGTCCCAGCTTTTCCTTAGGAATTTTCTATCCTGCTGGAATTTGGGCCAAGATATATTTACAAACAGCTTGCTTCTGTTTAACCGACAAGAGTTTGTTGCTTCTTCAGGGCTTTCCAGTATCCCCTATTTTTCTGAGAACTTCTGTCTCACAACATAGAGTTTCTCAGTAAGAAAATATCAGAAGCTACTTTTCTTTCCATTCCCAAATCACCTGACATCACTCTTCAAAATTCTGCAATATCTCCATGGGCTCCTCCTCATAAACCTTGACAAAACTGAACCACACTTTATAATCTATGCAGTATGTTTCCTATCTTCAGATATTTAAGTTGACTCAGAATTTGTCTGCATTTCTCCCTCCAAATTTATTGCACTGCATATTACCTGCATACTTCCATAGTGACTATAATCTATTAAATCAAGGGAGAATTGGATTGAGAAAGGCCCATCTGGAAATTCCAGGAACAGAGGTGACCTTCCCATGGTTTAAATATGGATAATGGAAAAACAATACTGGGCACGCACTGCATGCCTCCATGTGAGTAGGAAGAGGGACACCAAGATGTAGTATTAGGAGTGGTAAACAAGTACATAAAGGCAGTTTGGTGCAATGGTTAAGACACCAGCTAGGAGCAGGAGACTGTGAGTTCTAATCCTGCCTTAAGGTAACTGAGTGATCTTGGGCTAGTCGTTCTTTCTCAGCCCTAGGAAGCAGACAATGGCAAACCATTTGCAAAACTCTTGCCAAAGAAAACTGCAGGGACTAATCCAGGCTGTAGCCAGAAGAAAACATTAATTTGAAGGCCTAAGTAACAACAAAAATGAGTGCTTACCCTGAGGCAATGAGAACACGGGACTGTGCGATGGCTAGGCGCTGCAGATTGGTTCGGTTCAATGTATTAAGGCTGGCGCGTGTCACTTTGCCGTTGGCATTAGGAGGACTGGCAGAGGAATTGCTCATGGTGAGGGCAGGTGTGCTAACTGCCTGCCTTCGGCTCACTTGGGACGCAAGGGTCTTCAGAGAGCTACGCATGGTGGCTGTTCCATCTTGTGGCTTGTGAACTGATGCTGGTGTGGGGATTTTGGTGCTGCCAGAAAGAGAGACAGCTTTACGTGGCAGTGGAGGTTGAGGCTGCTGGCTAGCCGCAGCTCCAATTCCTCCATTGCTCCCAGCTGCCACTGTTGCCTTTATGCTCATGACAAGAAGGCATTGTGGACAAGTGCAAGCAGGAGCAGGAGCAGGAGCAGGAGCAGGAGGCACATTGGCTGCACCAGGGCTTGCTGGCCATGACTGAGATTTGGGCAAGGTGCCTGTGACCAGCGGGTAGACCATGTCAAGGCGGCGACGGACACGGCGCTTGCGTTGGGTCTGGCGGTTGATCTGGCCCATCGTGCTGAAGTCAATGATGTAGCAGAAGCCAATGGAAGTGAGATCAATCCAGGGGTGCTGCTTTTCATAGGCGTGTTGGATGGTAATGCCCACCTCCATGTCATAGGGGGTCCAGGTGCCATTGTCATTCTCCCATTCCCATACCACACCCTTTCCTGGGGCTGAGGAGGGGTCATAATAGCTGCGACGCACCGGACGGATGGTCCCTGCAAAGGGAGAAATGGGAAAGTAATGTCAAAAAAAAAAAAAGGCAACAAAGAAAATAACATTACATCAAGCATACTAGAAAATCATGCATAGGAAAGAAGCGCGTCAGAGTTTTAAACAACTAAGAAGGGAAAAAATGCAGCACAGAAACAAACATCATGTGCTTTCACAGACATTTATCCCCTAAAGAAGCAACTAAACCAAATCCAATGTTTAAGCTCTGTTTAATCTGCTTCTCACATGACAGCCCAAATGCTATTATTTCCAAGTTTACAAGTTCATCATAGATGTGGAGTTATGCCGAAGATCCATGCATAAACAGAGAAGGGAACAACAGAATTTCCTGGCAAATGAGTTTTGAGAACAAATATCAACAAAACTGAACTAGTTTACTGACTCAATTTCCTTTCCATACACTCTTTGGCTATGCAAAGGGACTTGCCTTTTTTCTCCTCCCTTCCTTTGACCGCCATGACCTGGCTGAACATAAGACCACATAACTATGATTGAAAGTTTGAAATTGTGTTGCTACCGTAACACTGAAAATGTACACTGCCTGTATACAAGTTAGTTAAAAATAAGTTATCACTTATTATTATTTGGACCTTCCCCACAGAACATGTGGCGATAATGCTAAGATCAAGGTGTGGAAGGAAAGGGAGATTTGGCTAAAGATCTCTCTCTCCCTAAAATCCTTCCCAGAGGAAGGAGGGAATGTTGCAGGATCCAATCCGAGTCAGTCACCAGGACCAGAGGTTTAGTCTTCTGAGTTTTCAGACTTGTGCTGGAGCCCATCCTCAGGGAACGTCTCTCTCACCAGAATGTAAGGGAATGTCTCTATTGGGGTCATGGAACCCAGATTAAGGCATGTTGTCTCCACACTTTTACTTCCCCATATATGTGTCATACACGGGTCTCCCTGAGTGGTAATAGCTCCCTCTCCTCTCTGCACCACATTTTAAAGAGGAACTGAACACATGGTTTTCATCTTCCTGTCACATTATTTGCTATTTTGCTGGCCCTTGCCCCTGTGACCCCCTGCCTCTCAATTCTCCTGTCCTCTTTATCTGTTCTCAATGACCGTTCATGGTAAAGAGAACTCTGGACCCTTTGAAAATTAAAAGAGAGTGATCCATGTTCAATTCTCAGTGTTTCAGTCTCTTCAAAGGAATAAGCTGACACCCCACCCCACCCTTTAGGAGCTGCTGAATTAACAGCAAAGCGTTGGAGGAGGAGAAAAAAATAAATAAACATTGACAGAAAAATAAGGAAATTTATCTCCTGTTCCACCTATGAACCTTTTGCTAAATGCAGTTTATTCCTCCTGGATAAAAATCACCTAGTGTGTCAAGTAAATAACCATTATTGGATAAAAATCATTATACTATTAATGCAAAATACTCGGAATCCCAGCATCAACTCTGGGCGGTCATGTTTATATAACCAGGGCCCCATCAGATGATCAGAGTCAGGGATAATATAGAAATCACACCCAGTGGCAAATATTTATACAAGCCATAGGGGGATAACCTCTGCACTGAAGTTCCAGGGCTGGAATTAACCCTTGGTCTCCCAAAACTCTTTTGCCAGTAGCAAAGACTGGCAGAAAATTGGTTGCTTGCAGAAAATGTGTGCCCTTGATGTCTTCCAGACAACTGTAATGTTTTTTCTAGTTTATTTCAAAATATCCAGCTTGCCATTCCTCTCCCCTCAAAGTTGTTTCAGAAGAGTAGAAAACTGCAATAGATTAATTACCATAAATAGTAGCAATGAAATCCCCGGCTATTATAGTAACAGATATATCTCAGGAGGTTGCAAATTCATTTTATATTTCAATAATTATACCCTGTAGTCCCCAGATAAGACAGAGGCAGCCTTCTGAAAATGCTGACCTATTTCATCCAGAAAACTAGTTAGTGAGAATTCTAGTATTTTATCTACGCATGTAGAGTCAGTTAATGGGTTTAAAGATAATCTGATTTGTTGCATTCCGAAACCATAATCCACAGCCTTTATATGTGAAAGGTGGACTATCCCAAGGAAGTGAAAGCAGCTGCTAAGAAAAACACAATCTTGCTCCACAGCCCTGTTTTTTTCCATGAATATTTTGGAACAAGATTCAGATTAAGGGAGAAATGACAACATAGGCAGACATTTGCAGGAGAGAATTAGAAAGAAGGAAAAAATACTTAACCCTAAATCTTAACCATTATTATGAAATATGTTTTTATATATTATATATGTATATACAGGTAGTCCTCATTTAGCAACTGTCTCATTTAAAGGCCATTTGGAGTTCCGAAGGTGATGAAATGTGTTAGTTGAAAAAGGTGCTACTAGGTTCTCCTAATATGGCTGCACTGTGGACTTTCCTCCTATATCCTTCAATGGCTATTCTATACAAATTGACATGATTTTATCTGGCAACTTCGATACAATACAAACTTGAATACTGGCATTACGGACTATTCTCTGCTGCATCTAATCCCATGATATTATAATATCTGAAGACACAAGTTCCTTCAGAAATTAAGCACGTCTCCTGGACAGAATTCCAACAGGGAAGAGAGGTAAAATATAAAACAATATATGCATACACATATACATTAAAAACCTCCCCAAGTTGGACTACGAATTCCCCAAGAGTTCAGCTTGGGGAGAACAGAAACTAGAGGGGACATGATTTATGAGAGAATCAGCAAGTGATGAATTGGGTAATCAGTCTTTCATCTCATCCATAAATTCATCTTCCAAATTGTGCTTCTCTATGTAATTGAAACAAACACAGGTTAGGAACACACATTTGCTGGAATAACAGTTCATTCTTTCCACATTTACCCTGAGAAACAAAAGCTGGCTCCCTGCTCTCATCATGGGACTGGAAATATTTTGACAGCTCCGTGTTTGATTGGCAGCTGTTTTGCTGTCTCATCTTCTCAATCCCGATCCAAGGAATAAAAGCTAATCAAACAGTGATATAGCTAACAGCTGCCAAGATATTGCTTATTTTGACAACCCTTTAACCCAGGATAGTCTATTTGGGGTAACTCTGCCAAAATAACAAACATGAGAGGGTCTCGCTGCTAACAACAAGAGGGAAAGAAAGATTAACAAAATTCCTTCTCCAGATAGTTTTACCTTCATGAGGTGCTAAGAAATGCCACAGAAAAGGCATTTCTTCAATGTCTTCAATAAGCAATAAGCAGGGCAGGATAAGATTTAAGATCACCCTAAGCCCTCAGTTATATACAATTATTGCAACTGATAACCTTTGTTGTAACAGTGCTTCTTTTGCCTCAGTTCACTCAGTTTCAATGTTCTAAGATCTCTGAAGAAAAGCAAACAGGCAGAAGGGAGAATTCTAATGGTCTCATGTTTATACCGTATAATGACTTACTTTATAAAAAATATAATCCGACTTATTTCTAAGAGATCAGGTCTCAGGGGAAGGTCTTTAAACCTGTAGTTAAAAAGATGGCTTATCTACATGACAAAGCAAGGGGACTATGGAGCTCCACCAACATAAGTGATGCATCCTGGTGGCAATGTTAAGACATTAATTAAATGATAAGTCTTGCTTCACCAACTGCCCATCACGCTAGATACTTTCTTTCTCACCCAGCTCTTTTTCCAGCACCAAAGTCAAACTGGAAAGGATGGCCTGGATATGGGAAATTGAGAAGTGGTGTGTGTGTGTGTGTGTGTGTGTGTGTGTGTGTGTGTGTGATGTTCCACTGTGCAATTACAAAAACTGTTTTGTATTTGACACCAGCCCCTCCTTCAACATTAATTTAATAACCTCCTGCACGCTACTTCTCATCCCACTGAACACAGAAATGGGTACCTCACATTCTCTTCCTGCAAGGTTCAACAGAAGCTAATCCTGGCTATTTGACCACCACCCCTCAACATCCCAAACTATTCTTCAATATTTTGAAGACTATTTATGTGGAAGTACAATGATGTGTACTCAGAATTTCTCAAGAAAATTCCCTTATTCGGGCAAACAAAATTAAATGTAAAATTTCCAGACAATATGTACTTGCATGGGTAAAGGACAGTAAGAGACAAAATGGAAATGTAATTTCAGTGGTGTGATAAGGTGAAGGCAGTTTATGAATCTTGGCTGGTCTTCATAATTTAAGTGGTAGTTAAAACTGTGGTACTGACCAAGGACACAGGCGATTGTGCAGAAGTCTCATTAACTTTGATACAAGACATATGTAACTGACAGCTGTAGATAACTGAGATTATTTGAAGAATGCAAACTATTGGCATCTTTTAGATGTATATTCAATTCCATTAACTTTGTTTATAACTGCAGTTCCAGAAAAATAAATATTCAGATCAGGGCATTCTCTGCAAAAGAAATATTCTAAACAGAGAATGCCCATTTACTGAAACACATTTTTACTAGAAAATATGATAGGCAATTCTTGCTTATATGGTTAGAATGAACAGGAAGTTGGCAAATTCCCCAGAAGAGAGTTATTCAGAGAAGAGCACTAGGAAATAATTGGCTTGTGTACATTATGACCTATATTTACCAATGCCTTAACTAGAACCAAGAAGAGGGGGAAATAAAACAATTAAAAAGGTCAAAATCTCTGCTGTAAAACATTTAACGATGACTACTTAGTATCGAAAAATGTTACGCCTAAATTATATTTTTCTCCTTCTTGTTAAAATAGTATTGATTTTCACTGCAAAAAGATTCACACACATACCCACAAATATTCCATGAAGACTGATCCACAGGCTTCATGCTCCAGGCTAGCAACTACCCTGATGAGCTGGATAGCAAGGACATTATTGCAACAACACACTGACTTCTTCTTTCTTGTTCCTGCAGAACCTGTTCCTGCAAAACCAACACCCAGTACTCCTTATGTAAAAGACTTTGTACATCCATAGCTTCAAGTACACACACAACCAAAGATGATGACTGATGAAGGTGTGGAGTAGGGCAGTGAAGGACCATGCTAACCAATAGATGTGC